GCTTTGCAAGAACCAGACATCTGAAGTGTTTAATGCCTCTAAAAGCTAAAAGGGCAAAATGTTATTACATGAAATTGTCAAGCATTATTTTGCAATAGTTTTGAGAAGGTTTTGGCCCAAAATGTGTTTTTAAAATCCACTCATGGCAGGGCGATAAAAGCACAGCATTGTAAGGCAATACAGTACCCAAAGAAAACCTGTTATTCTACCATAATCAGCATTACCTATAAAAAAAAATTAGCAGACACAAGTTTGCTGGTCTTTTTGAATAGTCAATAAAATGGCAATATTTGCAGTATAGACATCACAACCCCTTGTTTGTCTCACCATTGTGAAGAAATCAGAGTCTGAAGATTTCTCTACAGTGCGTTTCACACCAAACCACTCTGAATGGCTTTGGCCCTGGTCATTCTTGGTGTTAACATCCGTCTTAAGTGATCTGATCACAAGTGGACAGCAAGAAGTGTAGCCATTCACACCTGCCATTTCCATGTGTCTCGAATGTGTCTCCAGATTTCATAATTTCAGGAAAGGTACTACTTACATTTAATACGTCAGTCTCTCGCTGTGTTTGCATTATATTAACCTCTTGAATGGCCATGGCCCGCCGGAGGGCCCAAAGTTGTATTACACACTTCCATAATCTAAGAATAGCTCAGTTTGCGTTCCTGCAGTTCCTGAATAATAAGCCTTAGTAAGTAATAAGCCTTGGATTTTAAGGGCTTAAGCAAACATATCAACCCAAGTTTAGTTTACCTTAGAGTCAGTATAAGTCTGCCTGTTAATAGTTTTAATACAGAGCTGTGAGTGTGGTTTTCCACATAGATTAACAAAAAAATTCCATTTCGGGTTAGTATTCATGATCAGAATAGCACGTCAGGCATTATACGTTCATACACTTCATACAGTATACAGTTAGTTAAATTAATTTTATCATATAACTGATCTGATTGGCTGAGCCACATTCAAAGCCATGGTAAAATACTCCAGTAGTACCAGATTAAATAATCTTTGCTCAAAAAAAAACTTCTGATTGAACATTGTAGTTTATTACAACCCTGTTCCCAAAAAAGTTGGAATGCTGTGTAAACTGCTGTGTAAAAAAAAACAGTATGCAATGGTTTACAAAACACTAAAACTCTATAGTTAATTTAACATAGTACAAAGACAACATATCAAATGTTGAAACTGAGAGTTTTAGTTGGTTTTTGAAAAATATATGCCCATTTTGAATTTTATGGCAACAACACATTTCAAAAAAAGCTGGGACAGGGGCATGTTGACCACTGTGTTGCATCATTTCTCCTTTTAACAACACTCATGTTTGGGAACTGAGGAGACCTGTTGCTGTTTTGAAAGATCATTGAAAAATCTTTTCCTATTCTTGCTTGATATAAGATTTTAGCTGCTCAACAGTTCAGGGTCTCACTTGCCGTATTTTTTATTTCATAATGCACCAAATGTTTTCAGTAGGTGACAGGGCTGTACTGCAGGCAGGCCAGTTTAGCATCCAGGCTGTTTTACTACAGAGTCATTTGTAATTGATTGTGATTTGACATTGTCTTGCTGAAATAAGCAAGGTCTTCCCTGAAAAAGATGTTGTCTGGATGGCAGCATATGTTGCTCCAAAACCTGTGTATATCGTCCAGCATTAATGATGCCTTCTCAGATGTGCAAGTCATCCATGCAGTGTGCAGTAATGCACCTCCATAACATCACAGATTCTGGCTTTTGAACTGTGTGCTGATGAGCCAGATTGCCCCTCTCCTCTTCACCCTGGAGGACGCAGCATCCATGATTTCCAAACAGAATTTTTTTTAAAAGGTCTGCCGGACCACAGGAAACTAACACTTCACATTAGTCCATCTTAAATGAGCTTGGGCCCAGAGAAGGTGGCAGTGTTTCTGCATTCTGTTTGTATGTCATTTCTTCTTTGCACAGTAGAATTTTAACTTGCATTTGTGGATGCAGCAACAAACTGTGCTCACAGACAGTGGTTTATGGAAGTGCTTCTGAGCCCATGCAGTGATCACGACCAGCCAATATTGGTTTTCAGCCTTGTCCCTTGCATACAGAGATTTCTTCAGATTCTCTGAATCTTTGAATGATATTATGTACCATATTACGCTGAGAAACATTATTCTTGAATTGTTGTAGTATTTGCCTATGGAGTCTTTCACAGAGTGGTGAACTCCTCCCTATTTTTACTTCTGAAAGACACTCATGTTACTGACCCATTGCCAATTAACTTAACTAGTTAAAAGATGTTCCACCAGGTGTTTTTTTAGCATTACGCAAATTCACCAGTCTTGTGTTGCCCTGTCCAAATTTACTTGAAACTTGTCGCTGGCATCAAATTCCAATAGCATCAAACTCACCTTTTGAAGAGCCATAAAACTGCTGCAATATCAAGTTTAGCTCAGTTTTGTCAATTTTTGGTAGATCAATATAAATGTTGTTTTTTCCAGCCAGTCTGTAAAGCATCTTACATCCCATTTTGTTTGGTGAATGGTATTCAATTAATTTCTGGCTAATTCCAGGTTGTTTAGGTGTTCTTCTGTCACAGCTGCCGACTGAAAAGCTGCTCAGTGGTGAAGATAGTTTGGGAATTTAGTGTAGTCTCATCTTCAGAGTCTGACCAAATCAGCTGTAGGTCAAATGTGATCCGTTTTCTGTTTGTGCGCAAAGTAAGAAGTAAAAACGTTCAAAAGTCTTGAGCGTCTCCTACAGCTGTCAACGTTGTTGCTTACAAACGGCATCTCAGCAGACTGATACAATGTTTGTGAAAAAAAATGTGATGTTATGTTAAACATGATATAAAAGCACAGTTAGAATGCTTCTTAACCAATCAGCTTGCATGACCGGAAATGTTGTATAATTCCTTGTAACATATGTTTACCACATGTTACAATTTGTAAATGCAGCAACGAACTGTGTCCACAGAAAGTGGCTTAAGGAAGTTTTCAGAAGTTTCTCCTGTTTAGCAGAGCTGTGCTAGTTCCTAGCATAAGCTACTGTTTAGCAGGCTAGCTGCCGTAGCAGTTGACCATTGTATGGCACGTAACTGATACTTCAGTACTGTATTTTTAAAGAAAAAACAATGAGACGATTGTAGTGTTCAACCATTTGTCTTGACATCTATGTCTAGTGCTGTAAAAGGTAGGATTGTGGTTAATTAGACTTTATCCGCCATAGTATGCTGTTGGTTGTTATAGTAACTATGCAACTTGTTGTACAGTTATAGTAACTAGGTGGTCATTGCATGCTTTGCTTTCTCAGTGCTTCATGTTGTTTCCACTGAAACAACTAGCTAACATAATTAGCTAGGTATGTTAACTACAGCAATATGGCGTTATTTGAGCAATGTCCAAAACTAAAAAACAAGGTGACTGAAGTTATTTTGGAGTAGCAGAGATAAAGTGTATGTGTTGGCAAGTAAATATTGTAAACCAGTGGTTCTCAAAACATTGCCCCCCCACAATCCCCTCCCCCAAACAGAGCACATTTTCACTCAGTCCCAACTCCCAACACGTAGGGATTGAGCAAAAAATGTGGACCATCTAGGGGACCTGAGGACTGGTTTATAAACCATTGCATGTGAACCACTGAAACAAAAGTGGTATATCTAGCATATGTGTAGCATATATATAAACACACAATTCATTGTTTTTATTTTGTTAGTTATATGCAGGCATTGGAACACTTATGGAGCACTATTTTTGCATGAGAATGCAATAAACATAATATAAATGATGACATTTTTAAATACGATATAAACAAAAAGCTCTACAGTGAAAGGGAGTGTTGAATTTAATACACAAAATAAAGAAGTGCCATATTTATTTGTTAAGAAGCACTGAAACAGTCCAACATCTGAAATAACATTAACAACTGTCTAATAGCATAAAAGCACAACAATAGCATAAGTACACTGAGCACATTGGTGTAGAGATATGGAAAAACACCTAATGTAAACTTCTTATCCAGATAAGCCATTAGTCTGTTATCAGTCTTAACATAAAGAATGGAACTGCAGATCTGTACAGTCAACACACAAACATTATTTAAAACACTACCAGTAAAAAATAACTGAAAAACATACCTATATGTATGGTATTTTGCAGATAGTCTTACATAATAATCATGTTCCAAGAGAAGGCAAAGTCTTGATCAGGTCTTGCCCAAATAGGGAATTTTAAGGTGAGAGAGCCCTATTATTTCTAAGGGTGTCAACAATGTAGGAACAATATTTTTCAATTTTTGTGGTATTACATGGCGTTGTCAGCACGGATATAATGAAAATGTGATTAAAACTAAATGCCTATTTATTTGTGTCTTTATGGCTTGTTTCAGCATCAACATTATGCCAAATTATCTTCTGATTTTTTTCTGGGAAAGATGAACGCCATACTAATGCCTTTAATTAACTATCGAACATGATTGCCAATCATCTGACCTCAAGAACCCATCCTATCCTATTCAACTGTATGCTTAGAAGAGCTTCTCCAGTTTTTAAGAAACTGATGGTAGAGACAAGTTTATCTAACACTTTACTGCCAAGTGTTCATTGCCATCCAATCAGATTAGGAAACCTGCTTCTCAAGCTACTGAAAACCCCAGGTTTCCTACCTAGTATAACTAGCGAGTGTAACTCTTGTTTTTTTTTAAACTTGAAGTCACTTTACCAGCAAATTTGAATATAAATCATTTCAAAACAATATAAAAAAGCATAAAATAATAAAACAAATAACAGTAAGTTGACTTTCTAAAGAATGAAAACAACTGACATTCCCATCAAATTACAGAACCATAGTTCAGCAAGTTTGCTATTCACACAAGCCAGAGATGTCTGGAGGGTTTAGAGCCAGTTTAACCCCCGAGTGTTAACCACTATGCTTTTCTCAAGACATTTGTGTTTCATGCTGCAGACATGGCCTCTCAGATGTTGTCCAGCTCTGGAAGCCCAATACACTGAGCTCATGGTAACTGTGTTCTTTTGCTCATTTTAGGGGTTTGCGTTTTTGCACCTGGCTGTAAATCTGAGATGGATCATCAGCTCCTTCAGCTGCCAGAGACCTGTGGAACATAAAGATTCATTTAATTCAATCCATTATTGTTCATTTAAACAATACAGTCAAATGGTTTAAACTTTGCATAGATGTAGTAGCATTTGTTTCCTCACTGGGTGGCAGCAGGTCTATGGAAGTCCACAACAGCATAGTGAACACTCTCTGGGCAATTTGCAAATTTAGCATAGTACACAGGCTTTGCTTGGGTGTGCATGTACTTAAAATGTAAGTTGTAGTACAGAACATCATCCTGATTATCTGAGGCTGTACATGTTTGGTCAGAGGTCAAGGGCAGGGATGAGATGTTATTATACACAGGATCAGAATCACTCTGAGAAACAGAAAGAAAGAGCTATACATGAGACCACATTGTATGTAAACTTATCACACGATCGTGCAGTCCTTTATCTCTAAGGCTTGCTTTACGTGGTGAAACTATCATGCAACTAAATGTAAAGCATCCTGCAACTCACTTAACACTCAGCCCCTACAATTGCAAGTGCTCCAAATTTGTTGAACAAGTTTTATGAAACAGCCAAAAATATTTGGCTAACCAGTAGAATGACTGAATGTGTTGCATGCAGCTTTGTTTTTCAATTGTCCTGTGTAACTGTCAAGTTGCATGCAACTTAAATACAACTAGTTGCATGAAAGTTTCACTATGTAAAGCCAGCCTAACATGCTTACCTGACCACTCTCCCTAGAGCTCTTCTGGGCTTTAGCTGAACTGGATTTTCTTCTCCTATGAAACAAATAACACAGCCTTTAAGCTAAATTAAACATGAACTTAAAACTATTTTTAAATTATTTTAAATGTGTTCACTATTCACATACCACATAGACAGAGCTGCTGTGATGAGTATTAGAGCCAGAAAGACCACCACTCCCACTGTGAGCAGTGGTAATACTAAGCTCTTTTCTTGACCTTCAAGACCTTTGAAACTGCATGCTAAAAACAGTTGGAGAAAACTGAGACATATTACTGAACTTGAACCTGATACAGCTTCTAATAATACACTGTACACATTAAATTCTTAAAAAATAATATTCGATCTTTTTAAACTCACAGGTTACTGTCGTGACTCAGACAGTAGCATTATTCATTTTTCCTTAGAATCAGCATTTTGCTTGAAGTTAAATTTTCAATGTCAACACTGTGTTGGATCAGCATTAAACTATCAATGAAAGTGTGCAGTTCCTAACATTGGCCACAATAGCATGGATATATTGTTGCTGTGCAAAGAAAAACAAATATCCCCAAACAGTAACTTTACAGGAGAAGGAAAAAAAAGTACTTACTTTTAATGTAAGTTAATCTAAAGACATTTCCTTCCAAGCAGTTTTGAAGCATTTACATTGGTCTATTTGATCATGAAAATGGAGATATATTGCCAAAAGTATTCACTCACCTATCCAAATCATTAAATTCAAGTGTTCCAATCACTTCCATGGCCACAAGTGTATAAAACCAAGCACCCAGGCATGCAGACTGCTTCTACAAACATTCGTGAAAGAATGGGTCACTCTCAGGAGCTCAGTGAATTCCAGCATGGTACCGTGATAGGATGCCACCTGTGCAACAAGTCCAGTCATGAAATTTCCTGGCTACTAAATATTCCACAGTCAACTGTCAGTGGTATTATAACAAAGTGGAAGCGGTTGGGAACGACAGTAGGCCACGTAAAAAGACAGAGCGGGGTCAGGCGATGCTGAGGCGCATAGTACGCAAAGGTCACCAACTTTCTGCAGAGTCAATCGATACAGACCTCCAAACTTCATGTGGCCTTCAGATTAGCTCAAGAACAGTGCATAGAGAGCTTAATGGAATGGGTTTCCATGGCCCAACAGCTGCATCCAAGCCTTACATCACCAAACGCAATGCAAAGTGTCGAATGCAGTGGTGTAAAGCGCCACCACTGGACTCTAGAGCAGTGGAGACGTATTCTCTAGAGTGACAAATCACACTTCTCCATCTGGCAATCTGATGGATGAGTCTGGGTTTGGTGGTTGCCAGGAGAACGGTACTTGTCTGACTGCATAGTTCCAAGTGTAAAGTTTGGTGGAGGGGGATTATGGTGTGGGGTTGTTTTTCAGGAGTTTTGCTCGGCCCCTTAGTTCCAGTGAAAGGAACTCTTAATGCTTCAGCAGACCAAGAGATTTTGGACAATTTCATGCTCCCAACTTTGTAAGAACAGTTTGGAGATGGCCCCTTCCTGTTCCAACATGACTGTGCACCAGTGCACAAAGCAAGGTCCATAAAGACATGGATGAGTGAGTTTGGTGTGGAAGAACTTGACTGGCCTGCACAGAGTCCTGATCTCAACCTGACAGAACACCTTTGGGATGAATTAGAGCAGAGACTGCGAGCTAGGCCTTCTCGTCCAACATCAGTGTCTGACCTCACAAATGGGCTTCTGGAAGAATGGTCAAAAATTCCCATAAACACACTCCTAAACCTTGTGGAAAGCCTTCCCAGAACATCATATTAAACACTATGGATTAGGAATGGGATGTCACTCAAGTTCATATGCATGTGAAGGCAGACGAGCGAATGCTTTTGGCAATATAGTGTACTTATTTTGTTTTTTTGACAGCAACAATATAATCATTTATAGTTGACTGCTAGATTAAATATGTCAACTTGTGCCGTTGACAGTACAGATGTTGAATAAATATTAATACACTATATGGACGAAAGTATTGGGACAACTACACATTACACCTACAGGAGATGACATCCATTCTAAATCCATAGGCATTAATATGGAGTAGATCCCCCATTGCAGCTATAACAGCTTCCACTCTTCTGGGAAGCTTTCTACAAGATTTGTGTGGGTGTGGGAATTTTTTCCCCATTCATCCAGAAGAGCATGTGTGAGATCAGACACAGATGTTGGACAAGAAGGCCTGGTTCACAATCTCCATTCTAGTTCATCCCAAAGGTGTTTGATGGGGTTGAGGTCAGGGTTCTGTGTGGGTCAGTCAAGGGCTTCCACACCAAACTCACCCGACCATGCCTTTATGGACCTTGCTTTGTGCACTGGGGCTCAGTCACGCTGGAACAGAAAAGGGCCTTCCCCAAACTGTTCCCACAAAGTTGGAAACATTCAATAGTCCAAAATGATTTCCATTCACTGGAACTAAGGGGTCTAGGCCAACCCCTGAAAAACAAACCCATAGCATTATCCCTCCTCTACCAAACCTTGCAGTCAGGCAGGTAACATTCTCCTGGCATTTGTCAAACCCAGACTTGTCCATCAGACTGCCAGATAGAGAAGCGTGATTTATCACTCCACAGAAAATGTCTTCACTGCTCCAGAATCCAGTGTCGGCGTGCTTTACATCACACTGTTCAATGCTTGGCATTGTGCTTGCTGATGTAAGGCTTGCATGCAGCTGCTTGGCCATGGAAACCCATGCCATGAAGCTCCCAGTGCCAGAGGAAGCCAGAGGAGGTTTGGAACGCAGTTATTGAGTCAGCAGAGCATTGGTTACTTTTATGCATTATGTGTCTGTAACTTTATGTGGTTTGACACTTGCAACTGGCTGAGTTGCTGTGGTTCCTAAAGGCTTCCACTTTTCAATAATATTAGTCACAGTTGATAGTGGAATATCTAGGAGGGAAGAAATTTCGCAAACTGCATCCTATTATAGTGCCACACTCGAATTCAGTGAGCTCTTTAGAATGACCCATTCTTTCACAAATGTTTGTAAAGGCAGACTGCATGACTAGGTGCTTGATTTTATACACCTGTGGCAATGGGACTGAATGAAACACCTGAATGTGTCTCAATATCTTTATCCATATTGTGTATATGTACATGATATGATATGATATATATGATATAAGATAAAAGTTAAGGAAATGTTAACGGTACACAGCCATTTGATTGTGTCAAACTTTTGGCACAATTATAATTGTACTAGACTGGGAAACCAAAGTGTTCCCAAACAGAAGATAAGTGTGAATTCACGTTGCTTCTTCCAGCTAAAACTTGTTTTCTCCACTCGTCATTTCAGACATTGTGGCTAATCAACCATCCAAGGTAGAAAGCTGAAGCTAGCTTCTTATTCAAATTTTCCCCTGGTGTTTCTTCAAGCGAAATTGCTGGACCATTTAAGGTGGAATGGAAAATTCGGGTAAGCTGGCATATAAGCTTATAAACTGCTAATAAGCTGCTAACTTGAGCTTCGTCCAAGGTAGGCTAACCAATTTTTTTTTTAGTTCATAGTTTCTAGGAATATCATAAGTTAAGTGGAACTATAGAAACCATTGCCATTGTCATGCATTTTATAGCAAGTCCAACTGTAAAGCACATATTGTCTCATGACCCCCATACTGGAAAAAAAACAAGAGCATCATTGTGAAGTGGAATGCAGCACAATAATATTTTTCTTCAGGACCAGGATTGAGCACCACTGAGCTAAACCATTAGGACGAAAGGTTTCTTAATCCCAGTCCTAGGGACCCCATTCTTTTTTTGTTTTTTTCCTACACTACGAACCTAATCAAACTCATAAGAAGCCTGTTAATTAGCAAATGAGTTAAATGGGGTGTGCTAGATGTGCTTAGTGAGGGGTCGCCCAGACTGAGATTGGAAGTGGGTTTTTTAGTATTTAGAGTGTTTTACAGGACTCACAGTCTTCACTGAATGTTTGCTCAGGAGAGCGGAGCTCCTCGTGTCCTCTCACAGCACAAGAGTAGTTGCCTGCATCTTCACTGCACTTCAGGTACAGCTTGTTGTCTCTGATGATTTTGTTAGTTACAGGCTGTCTGTTCTTGTACCAGATGTACGTGGGGTTGTTAGGCAGAGTGCAGGTGCTGCTACACATCAGTATTACTGTCTGTCTATCTGATTCTGTGCTGGAACTCACTCTCACCTGCAAAGCTGAACATGCAGAGAATAAATCAGATTAATCGGATAAACGCATCAAACATAGATCGAAATGGTAAACATCTTGTTCACCTGCAACATTCAGAATGACTGTTACCAGTACTACTAAAAAAATTAAAAATTAGATACAGGCTACTATGGTGACATACCTGTAACATTCAAAAAGGCTCCAGGTTTACCAGAGAACTTCCCTTCTTGAGTGTCTGTGCTGAACTGAATGTAATATTCTCCAGAGTCTCTCCTTCTCACATCTCTCATTCTCAGAGTGCAGTTTCTTTCTTTATCTCCAATATACTCCACGCGACCAGCAAACTGCTTTTCCTTACTCAGCTCCTTTGGCTTTTCCTCCAGCCAATTGTAATACCAGAACACATCAGTAATAGTCTGATTACTGGGATATGAGAAAGTGCAGGGAAGGTTCACTGATGAACCCTCTAAAACACAGAGTCTTCTCTCTGTGTATGTCACATTCCAACAGCTCTCAAAAACACCTGTAGAAGTTAAAGACCAGTACTGTACTATGTTGATAGCATACTTCATAAGTAATTAAGAATTAATAGAGTTAATTAACACAATTTATACAATAACCCCACTTACCCCAGATGTTGTTGACCAGCCAAGACATGTTTAGGTGTCCAAATGTTGCTTCTTTTGTTTAGCGCTGGAGCTCTGAGCCTAACATTGCTTACAATCACTAGAAGTCGATAGACACCAAAATCTTTTCTGTAAACACATGCTCAAAAACTTCTTTCAACCCTCTCAAACTACAACCTCATTTCCCAAAAAATTGGGATTCTGTGCAACAGACTGCAATGATATGCAATCATTGAAACCTTATATTTATATAAGTGAAAATAGTACAAATACAACAAATCAATTATTAAAACTGAGAATTTTTATTTTTTTATTTTTTTTTTGCAAAATATATGTCTATTTTGTATTTGAGATACCCAACTGTTTTGGAAATGGGGTCGTACATCTAAGTCTTTATAAAGGTGTTGCAAACATGTTGATGTTTAAAACATGGTGTGATTTACTGGGAACTAAAACATGAACAACACTGCATCATATAGTTAAACACAGCACTCGACCATTTTAGATGACCGTGTTGTGATGAATTCTGACACAGCTGAATTCTGACTCCTTCGCCTTCATATTCTTGTGTATCATGTCACACACGTCTTTTCAACCATACTGAAGGGCTAGATGTGGTTGGAGCAGGATGAGAGAAGTTTTGGGTATTTATGGAAAGGTTTAGGTGTCTATTGACTTCTTACGTTTGCTAACAATGTTAGCCTTGTCGCTCCAGCAATAAACTAAAAAGCACAATTTGGACACCAAACATGTAACGGTTGTGTGGAAAATTGTTCAAATTTGAGTTTTCACCAAACTATTCCTTTAACTGCTTAGTACTGAACTTGAATTCACACTCACGCAATTCAGAAGACTGGATTTCATCAGTGTGGCTAACAGAGCAGGAGTAACTGCCAGCATCTAAACAAGAGGCTTTGCTAGATAAAACAAGAGGCTGAAAATTCTTTGAAGTTTTCTTCTGTGTTTTTACTCCATTCTTATACCAGTAGTAATTTTTAGGTTTAGAGGTCAGACTGCAGGAAGTGCTACAGGTGAGAGTCACTGTCTGCTGTTTGTGGTCAGTGGCCATCTTCACCCACAGATCTGAATGAGAATACAGGTCAAAACATAACAATAGAAGCTGAGGAGATTGAAAAGACTAGTTTCGTTTAGCTGTTATCTTTACCTGTAACTGTTAGATTAACTGCAGCTGAGCTGAGATGTTCCTCTCCTTGTTCTGTAATGATCATGAGGTGATATTCTCCTGAGTCTCTCTCTCTCAGCTCTCTGATTGTAAGAGTTGAGCTGGACCTTGTATACTTAGTGTTTGTTCGTTGTGTGTAGTCTGAGTCTAAAGCTAAATCCTCTGGATGTTCCTTATACCTCCATTTAGCTTTCTGTTTAAAGCTGAACCAGAAGACAGATTTGATTCTGATGTCTGGGTAAGAGCATCTCACGGTCACCTCTGAATCCCGCAGAGCACAGATAGTGTGAGGACTGCAGGACAAACTGATACTCTCACCCAGACAACCTGAAACAAATACAAAGTGAAATCTACAGAAAACCACAAAACAATCAAAAAATATGAAATCATAATAATTTGCAATAATATGAAAGTGAAAATAAAATGCAACAAAATAAAAATGACAGAAACAGATGAAAAGCATATAATATATATTATATAACATATAATGCATTATGATAATCACACCTGATATATTGAGTAGCAGGATTAGTTGGAGGACAATCAGTTTAAAACCCATGGTTCCATTTGTATCTTGAAAAAAAAATTAATAAATATATTGAGTTGTATGAGAAACACATTTATCATTTATTTATACCATACAGACAATTTTTTTAGGTTTATAATTAGTGACTGGAGATAAGTAGTAATCATGGCATGTGCAAAAATTTGGACACCTTTCCGGTTGTTAAGTATAATTTAACTCGGTAGGTCTTAGGTGATTCATTAGGACTGGTTAAGCAGGTGAAATTTGCCATTAGGAATTGTCAGCTGAAGACCAGAATGTAATAAATTCTCTGACCCGTCAAACCTTGTGATAACACTCAACAGCCATGGGTACTTCTAAGCAGCTGGTTGATGATCTGAAATTGATTCCCACAAAGCAGGGGAAGACTATAAAAAAGATGTCAGAGCTCTTCCAGCTCGCAATTACCACTGTCCAGAATATCATTGAGAAGTGGCTGTTAAGGGTAACTGTGTAGTTAAGGCAAGATTTGGAAGACCAAGAAAACTCTCAAATACATTTTTACTGTACAGCATTTTTTACACAAACATGATCTGCATGGAAGAGTCATCAGAGGCAAACTTTACTTACAACCTCATCACAAAAGTCAAGTATACAAAACATCTGGATAGGCCAGAGGCATTTTGGAAACAAGTCCTGAAGACTGTTGAAGTAAATATGAAACTCTTTGGTTACAATCACCAAACTTTATATTTTAGTATATTGTGAGGGAAAAAAGTAGCATTTGACATAAAGAACATCTTACCAACTGTTAAAAATGGGGCTGTGGGGCTGTGTGGCTAGTGGCACAGGAAAGATTGCACAGATAAATCAATTACACTACATATCATCACATTCTGGAAGCAAATGTGACACAGCCAGTCAAGACGCTGAAGGTCAAAAGAGGCTTAATTCTACAAAACGTACTTCGAAATTCACTATGGACTACTAAAAGCAATGCAAGCTGAGGCTTTTGAAATGACCCTCATAGTTCCCTGTCTTGAACAATATTCTCTGAGGAATAATTTTCTAGTAATTAGCTATCTATGGTGACTTATACTGGGTTACAGAAACATAAAAGAGGTAACACAAATACAAAAGAGAGAACGTAAACACAAAAGAGAGAATGTAAATACAAAAGTAAGAACACAAAACAGAGGAGTGTTCCTAATTGCTCAGGGGAACCTAAAAACATAAATGGGAATATATTTCAGTTAAATTTCACTCTTAAGGGGATGCCTACAATCATGGCACACATACATTTAAGAAAAATATTTATTTCCTCACAAGATTTAGTTTTTTCTTTCAATCATTATACCTTAAATAAAGGTTTATGTTAAGGTTTTTGTTAATATTTGGAATGGAAGAAAGATATGTAAAGAATAAGTAATTAAGAATATTTTAAGAATATCCAATCTCTTTGAAAAGGGAAAGACCAGTAAATCCAAAACTAATATTCAGACTGACAGCCCAAATCTGAGTTTTGGCATATCCAGGTTGATTTTTTTTAACTAAAAACCACTTGAAATCTATTTTATGCAAATCAGATCCAAACCACATTTAGAAGTGGTTTGAAATGCGATTCCAATCAGATTTTACTGTGTCTTTTGTGTCACTCACAATGTCACAAACAACAACAATGTCAAATCCAGAGTGATGGAAGTCCTCGGATTCAAAAAGAATGCTAAAGATTCATGCTTATGCCAGGGAATATTAAAGAGTTTAGAGGGTGAGATGATGCACCTGCGTAGCTACTGACTCCTACGCAGGGTTGGGATAGCTACTGAAAAACTAGTAGCTACTTTGCAGCTACTTTCCCAAAATTTGTAGCTTGCTACAATTTAGCTACTTTTCCAGAAAAAGTAGTGGCTACTTTTTAGCCACTTTTTGAAAAGTAGTGCACTACTTTTTAACTAATTTCAAAGCGTGATTGTCAAAATGTTTGTGAATCTCCACCTGACACAACAAACAAGCCCAACTGATAGTGTGAACAAGACACTGCATTTAATCATTAGCCAGAAAGAAACACACAATTGAAAAGCTGCAAATATACAGTTTAAGTTTAAGTGTAACCAACAATCAAACTTACACAACCAAAGGCGTGATATCCAACAAAATTTGGACTAAGTAAAGGCAAAGTCAATCATTCCAGATTTTTCCTAACAAAAATCAACAAACATAACTGAATACAGACCGAACAGTTTTATGCAAAGCACTGTCAACTGTTGAAATAAATCTGCTCCAATTTAGACATTTCAGCAGGATCTGTACAGACATGACATTCAGAGTCCTTTATTAAACTTCAGCAACACTTCAGCCTCAAAATCTTCATCAGTTACTCTGACTCTGTTTGGGGTGAGAATCAGGCCTGAATAATCTCTCCACTGCTGCAGAGCTGCTGTGGCTCCACAGCAGAACTAGATATTTAGCTAAAATAACATAACATGATCCTCCTTTACTGTAAAATCATTATAACACACAGTTCTAACAGTTTTCACAATAAATGGTCTTAAACGCTGTAGTTAACCCATAACTGCTAATTCACCCTTTCACGCTGAAGACTGACGCACAGACTGCTGGACACCACAGCAACGCAGACAACGAAAAGGCAAAGAGACAGATTTAAGATGAACATCGATAATTTGGAGATGAGTGGACTTATTTGCAGTTATAATCACTCCAGCTGGTTTCCTGATACGTTTAATCTGAAACAACTCGCAAAGCTAAAGTCAGCTTTCTTTCTCCTTCTTCGGGTTCGAATTCTCCCGTTCCACCTTAAAAGGTGCCTGAGGCGCTAGATCGTGCTGCGCCATTTAAGGTGGAACGAGAGAATTCGAACGAGAAGCTGGAGAATGAGAGGCTGAACTTAACCTCGTAAAACTTTGAGAGACATTTTACAAGAAACCCGCGGACAAGTTTCGTGATTGTGGTGCGAGAAAAGCGGCTATAGCTGACCTAAAGCTTAATGCAGAGCAAAGTAAGTCTGCGTTTTCATTATTGTTAGCCTGTATTAGTACGTTAGCACACACATAAACAGACACATAAAGCCAAGACAGTAAAACGGACATAAAATGTTGTGGTTTCATTTGTGTTGAAAGGACAAAATGGCTCTTCTTAACATTTCAGTTGTGACCCCTGAGTTAAGCCTATTAGTAAGCGGTGATCAGCACATGACCGTTTGCTCGAACTGTCCACGGCTCAGTCATTACTGCACAGTCGCCACCAGCCAAGTGAACGACCGCGTTCTATGGTTCAGATTTTGTGTGGATTGCCTGAAGCCTGTAGTGAAATTGTAGCAAGAATTATTGCTATAGCTACACAAAAAATTGTAGTCGCTACAGCTATTAGCTACATTTCATAAAACTGTAGCAGCTACAGCTACTAGCTACAAACATTTGTAGTTAACTACAAAAAGTAGTGTGCTACTTAGCGACTGCCCCATCCCTGCTCCTACATCATTACCACTGCAGCCTATGTAGATAAGCTGGTGATGTCTGGACACACAAATCCAATCCTATCACTTGCAAACAACAGTGCGGACAGTCGTCTCAAAAGATCTGATTTGAGAAACAAATCTGACCTGCCTGCATTCTGAACACAGCCTAAAAGCAACATTGCTGCTTCAAAAGCAATCGTTTGAAACCACTGTTAAAATCTAACCAAACACGTAGAAATAGTTTGTAGTGTTTGGCTCAAATAACGCACTAAAACATGCTTGTTTTGGCCACTGCGCACACACAGATCTCCACAAAAAGGGGGAGCTTTTCCCTCTTGCGGCTTTACCAACAAGTCCATTGGCTCATTTTGTTAAGGATGGGACTTTATCTGTAAACAGACACCATGCTGAGGATTACAAGCTTTCCATTCAATTTCCAACCAGTGACCTGTCTCCTGTTTTATAATATCTCTGACCACAGTCCTGGTCAAATTACATGTTTGGTTGATTTTCTAAGTGAAATCAAGTTAGCATATCCTCTACAGGGAACCTAAATGTGGAATTTTTCTGCAAATTTTAAGGCACAACTTCTATTTGTTCACTGAGTTTAACATATTGTAAAAAATAAAAACATACAATATGTCATAACCATTGCACAGGCCACATTGTGTTTTACTCTTTTCCCAAATATGGTACAGTTAATAAACAGTAACTGTGCATTAAAATACGCATACATGTGTTCTCTGCCAAAACATGTCAACTGAGGTGCCCAAACTTTTCCATACAACCGTGCAATGTGTTTCTATTAAAATGATCAGCACTGAACGGCATCAATTTGCAACTATGTACCATGATCCATACATTCTTATGAACATAAAAAAAATGTACTTTAAATATGAATATATGTTATTTACTTACATTTGGACACGAAGAAGAGATCACATTTACAGTAAAGAGAGATATCGAGTGTGTGGATGGAAGGGGGGGCTGTGACTTCAAGCAAGAGGAAACTGTTAGAGATTGTTATCTGATAAAAAACAACTTCCTGCTAACATTTATATACTGCCAAGACTTTGCACATTATCAGAGATCATTCAGTTTGATTATCAGAAACCTCATTAACTGCATATTACTGTACTTATTCAGAGGGAACATAAGTTTAAAAGTGAGCGCACTAATAATAAATGAGTGACGCAGAACTGAATTTTTGCTATTGAGGAAAAACAGCTGTGGGGGAAGGAGTGAATGTGAGAAGAGCTTATCTTCTATCAGATCATGACGTTTTCAGAGCATTCCTCAACCACACATCGAGCACACATCAGAGATGTGCACAACTCTGTGTTTTTAAGCTTAGCTTTTTAGTTTGTTTTTCACTTTATGCTCCACTATCCACCTTATTCCTGCACCTCATGATGCTTAGAATGACTTCCAGGAAGCCTAAACAGACAATACATAAAAGGGGGATTACACCAAACTTTCAAAATTTCTGTGTAATTAAATCTTTGAGATTGAAACAATGTCATTCAGATTGGTTTCATGTGAAATGCACTGTTCTAGAGAAACTTACAGAGTCAGAATTTTTCACAGTTGTGATGATAGGAACCCGACGGCCTTAGAGTTTAACCCCTTTAATAGGCCAGGGCCTGCCGGTGGGCCCAAAGTTTTATTATACACTTCTATAATTGAAGAATAGCTCAACCAGTTTGTACTGATGGTCCTGTAGTTACTGAATAATAAGTCGTAGTATGTAATAAGCCTGGGATTTTAAGGGGTTAATGCCTCTAAAAGCTCCCTCACATATAATTCTCAGGTGTAATACCTGCCCTCGACACCAGAGGTCAGCCTTACCTAAGTATTGATTTGTTTCCTAGTGACACCTTGGACCTGTACAAATACACGCTCTTTGTGAAGTATTTGCAGTTTGTTGTGTACTGAGCTTTTTATCACTACTGTTGCTGGATTCATGGTTTGCTTGGACTTTCTTCTGAACTCTTGGACTCCTTTTGGATTCTTTTTGGTACTTGTTTTTCTAAGCTATCTTGGGTTTTGACTATTTTGGACTGTCTCTGATTGTGTTTTTTGTGATTTTGATACTGTGGTTTTGAATAAATGGGAAAATTATGGATTCAAACACCTCTGGAGAGCCTTCATCGCAATACTTATTACATGAAATGGCAATAAATACACTGCCTGAGGCCTGAGACACTGTTTTACGGTACTGTTGAGATAAAAGTTTGACCTAAAAATGTATATTCTAAAACTTTATTCATGGAGAGGTTCAGGCAAGATGCTGTAAGGAAAAAATAGTCTGCAAAAACATGTTTTATCAGATTTACCACTATTTTACCCTCATAAAAAAATGCCATATAAAAACTCAGAAAAACAACACCTGAAGGAAAAATAAGAGCTAATAAACAGAAATCAACTCACCTGCTCAGAATTCTGGGTAACTTCACCCCATACTGGATTAAGTGATAGCAACTAATTGTAAGGAATTGAGTAATTTTAACTCGATTACTTACGTACAAAATGCCAGAGCTTTAAATGTAAAGTAAATACAAATTTAATTGTCTCAGTCCACTGAAACTTGAATGTTTGGTTATTCCACCAATATTTTCTGGTTTTGGGTAATGATTTTGAATACGCCATCTTGCTAATTGAACCCTTGAGGTCTTTATGACAACTGAGCAATAAAATCAGTGTTGTTGTTCTTTAAAACTTAATTTTAACTCCAGTTGTAGGACTTTGTAACAGTGGGTGTGCTGGGATGCTGCTTTTTATTTATTTAAATAATATTTTTCCATGCACCCCCATTCACTGTCCATTCAGGCATTTGTTTAAGAGCCATAAAGAAAGTCAAAATAATTCTATTTTTTAAAAAATGATGAAAATGGCTAAAAACAAAATGTTGCACCCAGGTTTTGGTTTGGTGCAAATATCTCAACCACATTAAAGTGACAAATGAGCAACACTAGTTGGTGTAGAATTTTTTTTATTGAACAGCAGATCGATGCCCATTCTTTGAGAACACAGATAGGAAACATTGAAATATGAACACTGGAATAGGGAAAATGTGAATTATTGTGAACACACAATTAAAAAAAAATCACCTAGAGATGAAACGCTAATTTAATTATTTCAAACTAGTCTGAATCTACACTTATCAATTGTATATTTTTTTGTTTATCTCTCTATCCCTAAGATTAGTGCCCACCAAAGCTGAATTATAATCTTACTCTTCATCAAGCAACCATTTCATTGATTCTCACAAAGTCAAAATCTGACCCAAAGTCCTTGCGAAGGTTATCTTTTTTAATTTTAGATGAATCATATATGATTTGTACTTGACAGAGACTGAAAAGCATCAAATGGAAATATCATTTTTAAGCATTGTATAAGTTTAGATTTGGTCCACTATTTATTTATTGGATTAAGCACCTATGCTGTTTCCATGGCCTTGGTATTACTTTCAATTATCATGTGGCATGTGTCAAGGCTGCCCATTATCACCACTCAATCTCTCCTCATACTGCAAGGTGTTAAAGGTGTGGTCCAAAATATCAGTTCAGTTACTGTTACTTCAGTAACAGTAGTTTAATAGATAATACCTATGACATGATCGTAATAGATTTAGGTATAATTGCAGATTCGTTTGCTGAAAGCTGTAATGCTTATGATTTCTAATTCACAATATTTAAACTTAAACTTGAACTGTTACCGTCCAGTGTGAGATTGAAAAGACTAGTTTACTTTAGTTGTTATCTTTACCTGTAACTGTTAGATTGACTGCAGTTGAGCTGAGATGTTTCTCTCCTTGTTCTGTAATAATCATGAGGTGATATTCTCCTGAGTCTCTCTCTCTCAGCTCTCTGATTGTAAGAGTTGAGCTGGACCTTATATTTGTAGTGCTCACTCGTCCTGTGTAGTCTAGGTCTAATGCTAAATCCTCTGGATGTTCCTCATTCCTCCATTTAGCTTTCTGTTTAAAGCTGAACCAGAAGATGATGTCTGGGTAAGAGCATTTCACGGTCACCTCTGAATCCCGCAGAGCACAGATAGTGTGAGGACTGCAGGACACACTGACACTCTCACCCAGACAATCTGAAACAGAAACAAAGTCAATTCTACAGAAAACTACACTACAAATCAATCAAAAATATTAAATAATATTAATTTTCAAGAGTAAGAAAGTGAAAATAAAATGCAATAAAATGAAAATGGTAGAAACAAATGAAAAGCTGATGATTTTAAGATAATCATACCTGATATATTGTGTAGCAAGATTAGTTTTAGCACAATCAATGTGAAGCCCATGGTTCCATTTATTTCTTGAAAATAAAAAGAAAACGGCAAATAAATACATTGCATTGAAAGAGGAATACATATATATTCCTACCATATAGACACATTTTTTAGGTTTACAATTAGTGACTCGAACCTCATATTTGATTAACTTAAAAAGAGAAGAAAGTAGCAATCATGGCATGTGCAGAAGTTTGGACACCCTTCCAGTTGTAAAGTCTTACCAGCTCGGTAGGTCTTAATTGACTTATTAGGACTGGTTAGGCAGGTGTTGTCAGCTGATGACCAGTGTGTAGTAAATTCTCTGACTCTGATAACACTAAACAGCCATGAGTTCCTCTAAGCAGCTGGCTGATCTAAAAATGAAGCTAATTAATTCCCAAAAAGCAGAGGAAGTCAGTAATAAAGATGGCACAGCTCTTCCAGCTTGCAATTTCCACTGTCAAAAATGTCAATGAGAAATGACAGTTAAGGGGAACTGTGGAAGTCCGGGCAAGATTTAGAAAACCAAGAAAACTCTCAAATAGAGTATACTAGCCAGAAAGGCAAAACAAAACCCCCCGTATGACAGCAGAGGATCTGCAGGAAGATTAAGCTAACATGTGAGTCCACAGTTGATACATCACTCTACACTGTAGTAAAAGGTCCTAATTTTACAGGAAATAACCCTTAAATTGTTATGGTAATTTTCATTTTTTTTTAATTGTATGCAAAACCCTGTAAAATTATGGACAACGACTGTAAATCAACAGCCTAACTGTTATTTTAAGGATTCTGCCAAATTACATTTTTTTTAAGAAAAATTACTGTATTATTTATACAGTATTTTTCTGTTTTTGTAAATTACATGCAAATTTCTGGAAAAAGACAATAATTATCTGTAATTAAATAAGAAGCACATTATATAAAGGTTTATGTCCATACTAACAATTTAATGTTTTTTCTTTAAACTTTTAAGGTATATCTTATCAGTTTTATATTTTTGTGTACTTTTACATTTAAACTCAATGGACAGAAATTTAGCAGACATGTTTCATTACATCAAACATAATGCATAGTCTTTTTTAAAGAGTACAGAGCTACACTGCTCTCAAGGCTGCAACTTTCAGGCACGTTGTGGCTCTGGCCACACCCAGCCAGTGATGACACAGTAAGTTATATAAGTGCTTAACTTGTAAAAATATTACAGATACGTTACTAAATAAGCTGCCTACATAGGCAGCTGCCACCCAAATGAACTACACCAATAGCCTCTAACAGTACATATACCAGGTTAACCAACAAGGTAGATGTGTTTAGTAGAGTTGTCAGTACACAGTGTTTGAAAACTGCACCAGGTCTTCTCTACCTGTTACACTAATACCAGCAAACGCTACCAGAATGATCCACCATCCAAATGATGTCTGGTCAGTGGTGGTTCTATGATGGACACTTTGCCCCGATGAATGGAGTAGAGGGTGATACATCATGGCTCAACAGATCGGCTACAGCTAGTAATTGTAAACCTACAAAGCGCACTTATATGGTAAGTGTATCTACTAAGAGTAGGCTGTATGCAAAAGTTTAACCACACCTCCAGTCAAAGTACACATTTTTTTGTTGATTTTCTAAGTGAAAGGAGGTTAACACATCCTCTACAGGGAACTTAAATATGG